GTATGTAACCACACACACACACACACACACACACACACACACACACACACACACACACACACACACACACACACACACGTCATACTTCACACATGTTATTAACTTAATGGCAGACTTTCAGAGACATGTACATACCTGATCATCTTTCCCACATCGTCTACAGTACAGTATCTTTGTGTATTAAACAAGCTCTGTCTTGCATCAAAGAAAAAAAAACTGATTTAGATGTGGGCTGTGTGTGGGGTAAGACTTCCTCTCTGTTTGTCTTGTCTCTGCATCTCTGCACTTCCTCTTTCAAAAAACTTTGTGAACACAATAAAAAAAAGGACTGCTTCCAAAACTTCCAAAACCTTTGCACRTTCCTTTTTAGCTTATATTATTCCTGTTGGACATATTTGTATAGAACTTTATGTGTATGTGCTACTGAGAAWACAGTTATATTTAAAAGTTAGAGTTGAAAAGATGAGCGAGTCAGAAGAAGATTTTAACATTTAAGATGTATTGACAGGGGTACCAAAGTCCACAAGSCTGAAAAAATGTACGCTGAAGTCTTTTGGTGGTAGACAGTAATAATGGATTTAATGGACAGCGGGCTCTTCAGGGCTCTGGAATATTTTATATCTCAACACCAATTTGTAACAAAAGGCAGGGACCTTGGAGCATTCACCCTGGCTTACCACATGTCTCTTGGGACATGTAAGGTCATGTCTTTGATGGAGAAGGGAGCCTGTTTGTGCACAAGTTTTCAGATGTATCAACTAAATATARTTAGGCTCATCTCAATGCATGCCATGTACGAGCAGCAGAGTTTTGGACTGRTTTGAGTTTATGGATGGATTTTGCATGTAAACCTAAAAGAAGGTAGATGCAGTAATATAGACGTAACATGACCAAAGAGTGTACCAAAATAGCAGTACTGTTGGATGAAAAGGATTGATGGAGACAARCGATGTAACAGAGGTAAAAGCACTWTAAAGTWCTATGCTGAACAAGTGATGTTATTAATGTGGGATTTAAATGATAACGTGTTGTCTAGAATGACACCCAGATTCTTCACCTTGGGGATGGGGGAAACTGAGGTGCTGTCAATGAGAATAGAAAAGTTGATGGTTTTTGCAAGGTGGATTTAGTGCCWATGAGAAGAACRTYCGWTTTGTCACCRTTTAGTTTRAGGAAGTTGCTGGTGAACCAGGACCTGATGTCAAAAACGCAGTCAGAGTGAAGTGTAAGTTTGGTCTGACCATAACTGGGGCTGAAGTCGCCAAAATAKTTAGGAAGCTCTTGGGGTAGAGGAGCTCTGGATGTGGATGAGGTCCRYCCTGAGTTCCCCAAGGCTCTGGATGTTGCTAAACTGGCTTGACTAACATACCTTTGCTTCATCATGTGAACATCAGGGGCTCTGCCACTAKGACTGAGCATTAAGTCTCAAGTTTCAATTAGAACCAGGACWRTTTGTTGRAATTTTTAAATTTCGATTCCTAGTTTCGACACCTTGTCTGCCATTCTGAAGAAGAAGCTGACGAAAAATAATGAGGAAAAATCTGAAAGCGACCCACCCAAACACCAACAAAGAAGAATCCGCATGTAGTGTGCGCAAATGGACAGTGTGTGGCTTAACTTTAATAGAAGAATAAGGTTATRTTTGGGGCGGCTGTGGTAGAGTGGTTAGGGGAGTCGTCCTGGAACCGGAAGGTCGCCGGTTCGATCCCCGTTCAGTCGACTCAGTCGTTGTGTCCTTGGGCAAGACACCTTACCCAMCTTCCCTACTGATGGTGGTCAGAGGGTCCGGTGGCGCCTGTGTATGGCAGCCTYGCCTCTGTCAGTGAGCCCCAAGGCAGCTGTGGCTACAATTGTAGTTTGCCATCACCAGTGTGTGAATGTGAGTGTGCATGGGTGAATGTCTGTAGTGTGAAGCGCTTTGAGTGTCCTGCATGGATATAAAGGCATATAATATAAAGAATAATAATTAATCGACATATTAATCTTTATAATAATATAAAGACTGTATAAAGTACAGTCCATTTACCATTTACCATGTTGTACAAAGGTGGGCGCACGACCAACATTTATAAAGACCGCTCTAGGTTCTGGCTTTGATGCACTGTGTGAGTCTTCACTAACACTTTTAGGTAAGTAAAACAATAGCATTTCTAATACCAACATTGAGGTAGCTTAAAAGTTATATTATACCATGATACTACAATTGAGAGTTCATTGCTATGGGGCTTTCACTTTCTTACCAAGCAGTGTTAGAGTCTGGTTCACATTGTTGGCAGTAAGTTGGACCCCTTCRGGGTGGGAGTTGGACTCTGCCAGAGCTGCTTGTTGTCACCAATTCTGTTCATAATTTMCATGGACAGAATATCTCGGTGCAGCCAGAGAGTGGAAGGAGCCCAGTTCAGTGGCCTCAGGATTCCATCTCTGTTATTTGCTGATGATGTGATCCYGTTGATGTCATCATGCCATGATCTTCAGCTCTCACTGGAGCAGTTCACAGCTGGGATGAGGATCTGCACCTCCAAATCTGAGTCCATGGTCCTCAGTAGGAAAAGTGTAGATTGTACTCTCCGGGTTGGGGCTGAGGTTCTACTTCGAGTGAAGGAGTTCAAGTATCTTTGRGTTTTGTTCACAAGTGAGGGTAGAATGGAGCGTGAGATCAATAGACATACTGGTGCTCTTTCCACAGGTCTGTTATGGCTCAGAGGGAGMTGAGCTGTAMGGCAAAGCTMAAMGTTTACCAGTCAGTCTAAGTTCCTACACATGGCCACAAACTTTGGGTAGTGACCGAAAGAACAAGGTTATGAATACAGATGCTCAAAATGTGTTTTCTTTAGCTGGACTCTCCACTGGAGAAAGGCTGATAAGTTCTGTTATCTGGGAGAGACAGAGTGGAACTGCTGCTCCTCCTCATTGAGAGGAGAYAGCTGAGGTGGTTCTGGCATCTGGTAAGGATGAAAGTTAGTTTTATTATTTCTCCTTCCCATATTGTTCTTTTTTCATCTAATAAATAAATGCTGCACGTGTTGCCCTCTTCTCATTCTGCCAGCAGGCTCTCATGCTGGAACAGAACCTGGAGCTTATCTGTATCACAGGTATGCTGGTACCTGTCACTCAGAGGAGCCACACAGAGATGGCACAGACCCAAACCATAGCCTAGAGCACTCAGAACCACACTTCACATCAAAACCATGGCAGACAGCTTCAAAACACCGCAAACACATCAATCATTGTTAAAAGTTGTTGTATTGACTGATTTCCTCTCATCTTTGTTCATCTCTGAACACCTGTGCATGGTATAGTAYGACTATCTTTATGGGGAATTTGCAYTAACTTTTATTCATTTCTATCGTCTAACCCTGACCCCTAAACTGAATCCAACAAACCTCTACAGTACAAAACAGTGGTAGTTGATAAGACTGAGATGTTTGGCCATTTCCTGGTACACACAGCCTGGTGAGGACCCACTTWTGGGGACAAATGCCCAGTCCCCATTGGGAGAAATACCACTGGTGTGTCGGGGGGTAGGGATTGGTACAAAATTCGATACTATTTTAAGTACYGACCRAATTCTGTYGGTACTACCAAGAACCAATTCACGTAACATCAATAGGTACAATRTTTTGGTACCTAAAYGCATCATTGCGACCRTATTGGCGTAAGAGTGGGAGATTTTCCATRCTTGTCRTGAACGCAGCATCRCGCAARAGCGTAATGACGTCAGCAGCCGCTGGTTCAGTAAACAGAGCTCAGTCTRAATGTAGCTTGAAAGCGAGCCTGGCAGCTCGCAGCTCCTGGAGAAAACTCGCAGAACAGACCGCCTCTGAATTGTCTGGTGGATTAATTATTTTGTAAGCMCGAAGTTCACTTGCTCAAAGTAAATAAATACAGCCACTTCCTTTATTTCATCTGCCATTTAACAGAGACCAGCAGAGGAAAACAACAGAGGCGCTTCCCAACAGTCCAAACGCGTCAGACCTGAAAGAGTACAAGTAGCTAACTTGAAGACAACTTGAAAAGTTGGGTGCACTTTTGATGCTCATAACGTAGCTTGAATACATTTTATTTATTTTAACTCAGTCCTCTTTTGCTTATTTGCTTTAAACTTATTTGCCTTCCATGAATATCAATCACACATTTTTTCTAGCGGGGAAATGGCATCAATTGAAATACGTGGAGCTAGATTTTAATTTGTGCAATAAGAAAAAACAGTCTTGTTGTTTTCAAGAGTTTTCACCTTATATAAATTAGTTTAAAAAACTGATGTTACAATACAATGAGTTGGATGTTGTCTTGATATTTGTTACATTTTGTATATTGAGAAATACGTTATTAAATATATAAGTTATTAAAAAAACAACACAAACAAAGTACCGAAAATTGGTACCATTAAATAAGTACCAGTACAGATTCCCAGGTGCCGGATATTGGTACCAAATCGATATAAATGTCAAAGGTACCCATCTCTAGTCGGAAGATTGGTTTAGGACTAAGGTGTGAATTGAGTTTACGTTAGGTTTAAGGTAAGGAGTCAGGGATAGGCTATATAAACGACTGGAAAATTAATAGAAGTCAATGCAAAGCCCCTATGAGGCTATAGAAGAACAAACGTATACAGCGGGTAAAATAGGTATTGAACACGTCACCATTTTTCTCAGTAAATATGTTACTAGAGGTGCTAATGACATGAAATTTTCACCACAGGTGGGTTACAACCCAAGTGATCCATACATACAAAGAAATCCAACCACAAATGTCCAGAAATGAAGTTATTTGAAATAATGTGGAATGGCACAGGGAAAGAGTATTGAACACATGAGGAAAGGGAGGTGTAAAAAGGCATGGAAAGCCAAGACACCAGCTGAACTCTCTCAGTAATTAGAAAGCAAGCCTGCCCCTTGTC